TTTTTTCTTTTACAAAATTGTTTCCATCTTTTAAGTCTTTGTTTAGAAGCATTATGCATATAAGCAGTTGTTCTAACCTTTTCTATCATGAGTTTAATTTTAGTAAATACACTTTGAATAATTAAATTTAAAATATGACAGATACACCTAATATGAAAAAGATCACCATGACATGAAAATGACAGAGTTAATCTGATAAAATCAACAGCTACATTGTTATTACTTGCATTATCTAGTGAAAGAGAGAATATTCTTTCTGAAATTTCTAATTTCATAAGTTCTTCAATTATTAAATTTGCAACATTAATACCAGTATGTGACTCTTCTATTGCAATAAAAGAAACAACACTTTTAAACATTTGCCAATTTTCATCAATCATGTATGCTATGATACATAAATATCCAGTTTGTGCTCTAGATGTCCAAATATCATAAGTTAAAGAAAATTTACAGTTCAAATTTTTAAAGTAAGAAATTATTTTTCCTTGTTCCTCCTGATAATATTTTAAAATATCACGTTGACAGGTTTGACGAGAAATTTTTTAAATGCAGGATAAAAAGCATCTCTAAACTTATCTTTAAATTCATCATCTTCTACTAATTTAAAATGAATGTTTTTAAGAATGATAAACCTGATTATGCATTTCCTAGCTCTGGCAGCGTCATAGTTTCAACTACTGAGACTACCAGAAGAGGAGGATTGAGAAATCATAGATTGTCGGATATCACCTTGAGGAGTCTGGCATTTGTTGTGTTTATCTAAATGGCGTTTGAGGTGGTTGGTGCCGCTCTTATAATGAGCTTAAAAAATCTTGCTGCACAATGCACACATAGCCTTCTGGGTGAGGATCCTACCGTGTTCATTCTTGGTGACGTCGATCTTCTCGTAAAATTTCCACACATCGGATCTTGGCCTTTTAGGAGCTCTTGGTGCAGATTCGTCGCCACCGGATTCGGGATTAACATCGGTAGGAGTAGACCTAATTGGAGGACTCATTTTAAGATCGGGAGATTGGTTTTGCTCTTCATAATCAGATCCAGAAGCCATTTGATGAAAGGATTAGAAAGTATAAGAGAGTATAAGATTGTATAAGAGAATATAATAGTATAATAGAGTATAAGAGTATAAGAAAGAAGTAGATGAGTTTTGGTGTGAAGAAAACAAATGAAAACCCCCTCTATTTATAGAGCCAGACCCCTAAACAAATGACCAAAATAACCTCACAAAATAGCCGTTTTTTGACCGTTTTTAGGGACAAAACGGTCAAAAGACCATTTTTGGCCGTTATGACCGGGCCGGCCCGGCCCGTCCATTTATTGCCACAACGGCGCGGTCCGGCCGAGCCGGCGGGCTTTTTAGACAGGCCTACTTGTACGTATAAAATGCGACTTAATAAGTACGTTGCAAACACAAAAAGTGTGTTAATAAGTATGTTGCCAAACACACTGAGCATCCCCCTCGCTCAAGATCGGTTAATCAAACTCTCTTTAAAAGCACGAGTTCGAAAAAATCTTTTGGTAGATAAAAATACCCTTAAAATTCAAATATAATGCTCCATTAAGTAAGAGTAAGTTGATAAATTGATGAATTTTGTTTGGATATACATAGTATAAAGATAAGGATATAGTTTAAATTGAAATATAAATCTAAATAAAATAATTAAATACCAAATTTACAAATGTCTACAAAATAAAAAGCGTATATGCAAAAACCAAATAAATTAATAAGACAAATAATGTCTACCCCAAAGGTCAAACTCAGAAACAACGTAGACCTACAAATGTACATAATATGGATGTGATATTTACAAAATCCACCAAACAAATTAAAGAGACAAAAGTAAATCTCAAATTTATAAAAAAAAATTAAGGAAAATAAAAATCTCTTTAAAAGCACGAGTTCGGGAAAATCTTTCCATAGTCAAAATTACCCTATATTATTTTAAATATTTAATTTAAATTATAATATATCCTAATCATACTTGTATCCTATCCTAATACTCCATGAACTATCTATACCTCAACAATTTAAATAAGATTAATAAAATATATGAAATATCTCAGTAGTATCAGTTTATTACATGAAGCATTACAAAAAACAAAAAAATTTAAAAATTAGACAAAATACTCTCAAATGTTTAAAATTACACAAAATAAAAAGCTAAAAATTTAGAACTTGGCAAAGAAAAGAGTAATTGTGTGATAATTACACAAAATAAAAAGCTAAAAATTTAGAACTTGGCAAAGAAAAGAGTAATTGTGTGATATTCTTTCATTAAGATATATAAATATAACTTATAATTTAAGGTTTACTATCCCTTTTCAAAATCTGAAAGTAGTTAAGTTGATATTAGTAAAAAAAATAGTAATAATAACAGATTAAAAATATTCAGTTAAAGGATAAAAATTTAAAAAATACATATGATAGATTAAAAATTAATGTTATTGTATAAATTAAAGTAATTGCATATAATTTTACCTATATATTAGAGCAGCAAAAATACATAAGTATCATTAATTAATTAATTAATTAATAGAAGACTAAATTGCAAAAAAACTAATAAAAGACTATAATATAATAGTTTAACATTAATTGATTATAATCTCTAATGGTAATAATATTTATATGGTAAAAAATTATAAAGCTTTATGTATGGAGAACTATTAGAAAATTTAGATATATCCTTCAAAAAAATCAAGCGGTTTTCATTTCAAATAGAATTCAAAACGTCCATGAATCAGTTCAATTAACACTAACATAAATTATATTTATCAAAGAAACACCGACTGAATAGCCCTTGAAGAATATATTGAACAACTTTGTTTCAATCAAAGAAATATTCTTCATGGAAGATAAAAAAATTACTATGTCATGACTCTGCGTAAACAAAAAATATAAAATCGTCCTTTTTATGTTTCTTATAAAATCATGCATGTGACTTTATTTAAGGGTATGACTACTAACAAATGTTCAGTTCCTAAAGACACGATCAAGATATAATAACACTATTAGAATTTAAGATCTCTAAATATGAAGATATTATATTTCATTACTAAAATTCTTATTAAAGGCCACTAAATATAAAATTCACATTATATCTATCTTAAATTTATAGAGAAGATATGCATGTCATCGTAAATTGCGTGAATACTGTATATCAATCCAAATATACGATATAACTTACTAAAGAAATAAGGGAATAGTAAGTAAACCAAACAAACATCCATATAACACTGTAAAGAAAAATATTACATTTCAAAGCTAATATGCAGCGCTCTTTTAGAGTAAGCTGCTAAGACAAAAGCATCTCCATTAAGGCTCTTTATAAATGCAGGAGATATTCAAATTACTAATACATACAACCATTATAACATTCGAAAGAGGTATGATCTTAGAAAACCTACTCTAAAATTCATACAATTAAACATTCGAAAGAGGTATGATCTTAGAAAACCTACTCTAAAATTCATACAATTAAACCTAAGAATAATTTATCAATATACAGATGATCTTAGAAAACCTACTCTAAAATTCATACAATTAAACCTAAGAATAATTTATCAATATACAGACACAATATCACACATTTAAGGCAACGATAACTACCATTTATAATATAGTTGAACAGTAGTTCTATGTTTGCAAAGGCTGCAACAAGAAAGTGGAAAGAGATGTTAATAATAAGTGTCCAGATGATAAATGTTAAAGAATCGTCGATGATATAGTACCAAGATTAAGTGATACCCCTTCTTCATGAAATAAATATATCAAAATTAAATATTAATATTATAATCTAAAGCAAATTGATAATGAAAAATATAATGTATTTAGTTCAGATCCTCATAGAAAATGACACAGAAAGAGCAAAAGTAACATTATGACACATCAGAAATTCTTATTAGATGCACAACAGAATAATTCATTGCAGAGAAAAAATAGATAACTCCTAACCTTATTTAAGTAATAAATTAAAAGCATAAAAAGTTTATATATATGAAATTAACATTTATTCTTATTGAAATAGGAAAAAAATCAAAGTCCGTATTGACAGAAGTTTGTGTTGAACATAAGAAATATATTCAACTTTTTTGTGAATTTAGATGAGAAGACAAAAGATGAATGAGCAAAAGAAAAGATAACATGCTCCAGTCTCATATCACAATCGATGTAGATGATGAAGACACTACTCTAGAATTACCCAGGAAAAAGATAAATATGAAGAATGTTAATCTCGACTCAATAAAAAATTAAATAGAAGCAACAAAAGATAATGTTTTGTGAATTGTTATAGAATAGTTTTATTTTTTTAATAAAATTAAGAATCTTTAGAATGGATTTTCATAAACTATTTTTAGTACTTTCATATGCATATGTGGTTGTTTTTATCATATAAAAGTATACTAGAGTTAACATTAATCATTAATTTATGATTTTTTTATTAACTATTTTCTATCATTTCATCTCACTTTAAATCAATCATCTTAGCTTGTTGGCTTTATTACTCATCTTCCTTCTATAATGTTATTTTTTCAAGTGTTTTTACTTTCTCAACTACTTCCTTAGATCAAGCTCGGTTTCATGCATGTTCAAATGAAATAAAAATTTCAATTGGCATTAGATTATATTTATCTCCTGGCAATTCAACTAATAACATAAAAATTTAAACTGGATGTAACTTATTCAAACAAATATCAAATAAATAAATAATCAAAGTATAATCAAGGAATATATTTTAGTAAGAAAATAAACTAAAAATATTTAACCAAAGTGAGCAAAAATTATCAAGGAGTAACCAAGAAACAAATTTTAGTAAGAAAATAAACAAAAAATACATAATCATAATATTTAACCACGTGCAATGCACGTGCATAAAATCTAGTTTGCCACAAAAGAGAGACTACAATAATAACTTGATACTGCACATGTTAAAGCTTCACATAAAAGTTACAAGTGACCTCCCTGCAATTTCATGAAATAATGGGCATCTACACATTAGAGGTGCCCCTACCTGAACCAAGCTACGTTTGAAATAACAGTACAATATTTATCATGTCCAAAGGAATGCAAGAGTCGAGTACAATTTCCATCAAATTTTGACTTCGACTTTAGATCTTAGCTAGCAAACATTCTGACCTGAAAATGATGCAAAGTACTTTCACATCACATTTATCGAAAGTAAAATTCATACCGACTGCCTCTCCAAACATCTCTTACTCATAATCGTCACGTGAGAGAAATGGTATACAAAGCTAAATGTACACAGTATTTAAAACATCTAAAAGTCAATCAGGGTTCTGATGTCAATTCAATCTGTTTATGTCGGAGGCAAACACATATGGGGGAAAACTGTGTTATTAGATGTTAAGAATTGAATGTGTTTGTAACCTCTTCAGTGTTTGCCTTTCAACTCCATCCTCTATCATGTCTGTATCTTCCGACATGATTATTTCCATGTCCCTGATATCCTTCTTTAATACATTTCCCAGCCTAGAAATTGCTTCTACTTCTTGTTGCAGCACCTGCAGAAACGAATACATATCGATTGGAATAGGTTGAAACAAATGATAGCATGAAGAAAAATGGACGTTTGCGCACCTCTTGCATCTCAGTGAGGCTCTCTTCATGTATTCTAGCTGATGCTGGAAGATAGGTCAAACCAACACCCACATTGGGGTTGACCCGAGTTATAGCAAGCAGGTTATGAACTCTCTTCGGTAATTCTACTGTTGGCCCTTTCAGCTGGAATTCATATGGGAACCTTAGTTTCATTTAAGATGGTATCAAAAGAGTTATTATGCAATAGAGGAAAATTGGAGAAAACCAACCTGTCTTGCTATTGTAGACAGCTTTTGTAATAACTCAACTTCACCTTTCATTAATGGCACGCGGATACCCTTACCTTCTAAGGCCTCCACTATTCTCATCACCTTTTTGGAAGCAATGTACGTAAGATCAAGTCAGATATTAATATGACAGGCTAAACCACAAATTGAAAGTAACACGGAGTATTCTCACCCTTAGGAGGCGCCTTTGAAGCTCTTGCTCTTTGTGTTTCTTCCTCTGGATGGAAGGAAGGGTGACTGCTTGCAAGTGTCTTTGAAGCTGAATGTAAAATAATCTTAGGCAAATGCACTAGTCATGTGGACATGGTAGAGAAGAGGGAAAAGACCTGCTTGACGTAATTTTGTACCCCGCGCAATCTTTCCTCATCAGACGCTATGGTCTCATCCTGAATCTGCAGTAGCAGAAATGTTACACAATAAGATGAAACCATGGCAAACCCTTTTTTTTAATAAGAAGGTTGAACTATAATAGAGTTATGGTCGTTGTGCTAAAATTCAACTAAGCCTTCAAATGATGGTCACAGGATAATGCAATCATTAACCTAGCAAGTAACTTCGTACAAAGGAGGAAGGGAACAAGCTGACGCATCAAACTGTCGATGTGTTATGTCTATAGGAACGATGTAAAACCTAAATGTCAAAGCACAAGTAACTCGAGTACACTCCAATGCTATATGGCTTTAATTCCAAAAAGAAAATAGCTATTTGGCATATTGACAGTAGGCAGACTTTGATACCATTAAAATATGAAGGACAAAGCAGCAAAATGCTCCTAGTTAATTAGCTGACTATACAAATGTGCTGATGAGAAAAATATTGTATTTTTATGAGATTGAATAGTTCAACTTGACGTTTTAAACAGATACCATCTTAAAGTTCAAATTTCTTATAATTTCTCTCATACAATATGGATAAATTCCTCTGTAAAAGAGAAACCTCCGAGAGACTTGGCACTTCAATGTGGCTAAGAGAATGTTGTAGCCTTATACAGAAGCAAAACTTGAATGACAGTGGGGATGCATCACCTTTCACACTTTCAAACAACATGGAACCAGTTTGCAGAATGTAGATGATTCCCAGGCCTGAAGGATGCAGATTGTATCATAAGAAGGATCAACCACAAACATATTGGTGAGCAGATCCTTCTACAGCTTCTATCCAAATATCTACAGTCCATTCTAGTGGCCTTGCGTGATGCTTGTAAAAGGCTATTTCTATCCATGGTGCTTGCCAAAATGTCTACATTACCTAACTTCACTAAGGCTATCCAAAATTAGTTCATTTCATTCCTAAGCCTCCTTAGTCCAAATCCACATTATCATCGTCATATCTCTAACGAACTACTTTGCATCCAATTATCAGCAGTTTCTTAGTTAACAAGCATAATCAGATAGTACTTCTTAATCTAGATCCAGTTATCTAACAAGCATAATCAGATAGTACTTCTTAATCTAGATCCAGTTATCTCTTGGATGCTGCAATAGGTCCAAATCCACATTATCATCGTTATCTCTCTAACGAACTACTTTGCATCCAATTATCAGAAGCTTCTTAGTTAACAAGCATAATCAGATAGTACTTCTTAATCTAGATCCAGTTATCTCTTGGATGCTGCAATAGCCACTTCATCAAGTTCTCTAATTATATGGCATTGGTTGATTCAACAAAGCAGTCATGTTTAAATCCTCAAGCAAACAGAAGCCTACTTTATGAGGTTGCTTATCAAAGTTGCATCATATAGGTAATGGTCAATATAACCTTGTTCTCAAGGCTAATCAAAAGAACGGAATACAGATTACTGAAAGATTACCTCGACATTAGAGGCTTCTACCAGTATGTGTAAATGGGTTGGCATGGAAGATTTCAAATCTCCACTTGGAGGTGGAAGATTTCCAGTTTATCAAGAAGTAATAGGATAGTAGGTTCACTTGTAGTTAATGCCCTATATATTACTTGCATCCAAGATGCTCCAAACAGAATCAAGATTGCCAGGTGCGAAACTGCTTAATTTTCAAACTCCACCAAAGAAGAAAACAGGTGTCATGATAATCATTATTATCATCAGCATCATTATCATCATCATCGTCGTCGTCATCATTTAAGTTATTTCCCTTGTTGGATATGAAGACTCAAAGAATCAACAACTCGAAAAGAGATATCAGCTCTAAAAGCCACAGTCGGTCAATATGACAACCTATCATTAGTTGCTGCCAACTTTCAGGCCAAAGGAAATAAGTGAAGGTATTGCACTAAAATTTAGATAGTTTAAATGCCAACAAGCTTAAAGATCACCCAAACAAACAATTATCTTAGCTCTGAAAATCACAAAAAAGCAAGTTGAAGATGCATCAATAAGGAATTACATATAATATTTCTGTGTTTGCAAGTTCGCTGAAATTCAACATAACTTGGAATTCAACATGTAAGCTAAAACTAATGTATAACTGTAGCCTATGGGATGAGCAAGGACTAACCATTGTTAGTTCAATAACTAACAGGTTAGTCACTTTAGATTGTGTCCATAGTTTCCCTCATCTTGCCAGGTTAAGTCTTAATAATTATTATGGTAGCAATAGCCAATAAGATACGTATATGCAACATTAAAAACGCCAATCATGAGGATAATAATAATGAGCATAATAGGCCTATATATGATTCACTTGTTTATTTCACGTAGTAACAAAATGACTTTCAAAAAATATTCAGAAAATATAAGTAAATATATATTAATCAAAACAATCAGTACCTTTAGCCGATTTGACAGATCTTTGAATCCCTGTACAAGCTGAGGCCATAGCCTCTCCCTATCTGCACTCCCCATCCCTTCCAGCTTCCCCATTGCCTCTGCCCACATTATCTGCAACACCGACCATACTATGAAATGTCATGGGAGCCGCAAACTCTAGCAATCCAAAGTTACCTTAAACCTAACACATTAATTTAAAATTTTATATTTTCAAAACAAAGTAAAGGGAGAAGGACTTACATCCGATGCTCCAACAGGCTTCACCCTAGCCGCTGGATCTATCACACTGAACAACAGATGCTACAGAAAACCAAAAATGAAACGTTATTTAATAAATCCAGGTAACTCGAACAGATGGATGGAAATTCCTTGATTTGAAATATCAAAAGCAGGGGAGGAAGACGGACCCTGTATGCGTACTTCTGGTTGGCAGGCTCTTCCTTGTAAGCATCTATAATAGCCTAACCAACAAAAATAACATAAAATAAGAAATATTCATATATGTTATATTTCTCCAACTTTGCAAGAAAGCTATTTTTTCTTCCTAAAACTAGATTAGTGATACAGTCTGGTCCATTTTAGAGTCTATGGATACGATTTCACCGAGGGCTAGGGTTATGGGCCTTAGGGCTATTTCAAGTAGTAAGATTTAATGGTCTTCGGCAAGAAAGCTACTATTTATTCACACACAAGGAAAAAAAGAGTACTCACCTGACAAGCAACACAACAAGGATAAGGAAAGGCTCATCCAAAATCAGAGCCTTCCTTAAAAAGTTTATAAGAAGCTAGAGTTCTATAATCAATTGAGGAATATAATTAGAGTTCTATCAACAAAGGCTAGGACTTCAACAATTAATTGTGACGATTGGAACAGCAAATTGCTACACTTGTGATGTCCATTCGCCGTGGTTGCAAATTTGTCTAAACATGTATTTAGGGAGAGGAATGTTTTAAGAGGAGTTATTTGAATTTGTGTTTACCTGATCTGCCTTTCATAGAGAAGGATACGCCAACAACTCACAAAAAGTCAGGCAATTATGATCACCATCAGTTTGTTTAGACGCGTCATCGCAATCTTTTTTCTACATAAAATCGTCTACCTGAGGGATTGTTTAGCACTTTGGACCTCTTACAAAAGAGCCACATCTAAATTTACAAACAAAATTTGCAATGTACAACTAAATAGGTTGCAGAAATACAAGAAACAGTTCAACTAAACAAGGTATTCAACTAAACAATTCAACTAAATAGAATGTCATCATTTCGACCCCCTTAAATTTGAATTTACCTTAAGATCAAATACTGGAAATTGTTGCACCAAATCTCGATCCAAGTAGTATCACAATTTTTTTCTCATTTGATGACAATCTGGAAGACAAGAGATTTCTACTAGAGGTACCCTTGAGAATATGTGGTATCCAAGTGATTTCTAAATGTCCGGCAAAGCATACTATGATTCTCCTAGAGTTAGGCTTGTTTAAGATTTTTCTCTTAAATAGTAAAGCCACAAATGTGTATGGATTTGGTTGCTTTCAAAGTGTCTTTGTCCACTTGAGAGTCAATGTCCTGATAGTAAATATTTGTAATCCCCCAAGTTCTTAATATTTTCTATCCAATCATCCGGTCACACTAGGATGGGAAATAGTGTAAGATATTTTCTTTATGAGTTTTACTGCACCATATTATAATCATCATTTTGTTTTAACCAAATCCACAGTCAACATCTCATTAAGTATTGTTTCTAAAGCAGTTGGTACGAATGTCTTCTAACAGCCAACAAAGACAAATAGATGTGTAGACAGAGCTGGAAGATGTTGTCTCTATGTCAAAATATGATTGATCAGTAGTCTGTGTATCAAATATCGGCCGATATATAACTATATCTGCCAACATATCGGTTTTGATGCCTCTCCTATACGATGTTTATGAAAAAAAATATCTTTTTTGATTTTTACCTCTTTTCGATATATCGGAAATATCGACCGTATTTTGTTGAGGAAATATCAGCTGAAATTGGCTAATATCTAAATGAAAAGGGTTACTATGTTTGGGTTTGGTTTTGGTTCCCACCAGACCCGAAAACTTAATAAATTCCCAAACCCTAATGCCCTAAATCCCTAGTCAATCTAATATTTCTCATCCATCTTCGTTCAGCACTCAAGCTAAAAAATGCTAGGCAATCTCAAGTATGAATCTCTCTTATCTCTCTCCACGCTCTCTTTCTCTTCTTCAGTTCTCCTCTGTCTTAGCTCCTCCTCAAACCCCTCTGCCTCTCCTATCTCTCTCTCTCTCAACGTGTCTCTCCCTTCTTTGTCTATCTTCCTATCTCTCCCTTGTTCATGTCTTCTCTCTCCCCCCTCCCTCTCTCAGACCTCTACCAGTATCTAATGTCTCTAAACATCGTATATCATTATTCATGATACAATTTCTTATGTTTTGAATACATTAAATATGTTTTGATTATATACTACAATGTAATGTTACATATGAACATCATCTGATGACACCCCGATATTTTTTTACATATACCTGATTTCAACAATCCGATATGAATTTTGGTCATTCGATATTTCTAATATTGTCGATAATACATTATCAATAGTTATGTAACTACTTATCAAATATTTTTTATTGCGCGTTTTTCTACTACGAGGGATTGAAACTAAAAAGACTAGTGCAATTAACTGTTTTCTTGATTAAAATGTATGTTTTTTATTCCCCTATAATTTTTGTTTGTGTAGTTCATGATACCTTCAACCAGTATTATCAAGGCACAAGGCGCAATGCGGGGTGCAAAATCCCCTTACGCGCATCATGCGCAAGGTGCAACGCGATGCATGCTCCTCAATGAAGTGAGGCGCATATCACAACCAAAATTATTTGATAATATACCACATCAAACAAGCAACATGTTTATGATTTTTTATAGAAATAATTTGCCAAGATAATAATCTCACATATCAAATCGCAAAGTAGGGTCTTAGTTCATAATCATAGCACCATTTAAAATAATGTTAATGTCAATTCAACTCAATCCTTCCATCTTTTAAGTAATTAATCATGTTGAAATATTCAAAGAACATTTCTATAAAATCATACATTGATATACCAACATTATTAATAACTGATGTTATAATATTCGGAGTAGTATTTTGTGATTTCTTAATCAATACTTTGGTTTTCCAAACATAGTAGTAACTCACAAGATAGAAATAAGAGAAAATGAGAAAAAAATGATAGAGTAGATAATAATATGGGGGGAAGGAATGAGAAAACAAAGGCAAAAGAAAAGGTAAGACAAGACTGGAGGAATAAGATGTAGAAATAATTAGAGAACGATACAAAATAGTGAGGCGAACTAAGGCGCATCGAAGTGCAAGACACAATGAGGAGCATCGAGGTGCAACGATGTGCATACCTCGTTTATATGTGATGTGCCCCTTACCTCATGCACGACGCATTTCCAACGCCTCGAAGCACCCAGTGTCCGAGGCGCATGCCTCGTTGCGCCTGAGATAACATTGCCTTTGACTGTAGATGTTTGCATAGTTTTTTTTCCCATTTCACAAGAGGATTCTACCTGAAGTTTGAAAGAAACTTGGAGCAACAACTAATGGTGATTGCATTTTATTCCATTTGATAATTTAAATTTAGGTCACTAACTTGTCGATTGTTTGATGTAGATAGTCCACTACATGTTAGTTTGTCCCATTATAATTTGTACGTAGAATATTTTTTAATATTGGCCATTGCATGATTGAACCTAAGTACATATCTAGTTCATGCTTGTGTAGAATTTGTTTTCCTCCATTGTGCTTGTTTTATAATTTTCATATTTTTCATGATTTTTTTGAATCTGAATTTCTATTGAAAATAAAAAATCAAATTTGACTTCACGGTTTTTCCGCTTAAGCTGCAAAAAACCAAAAAACAATTTGTCATTTTGCTTTGTTTTCCATGATCTTGCTTAGTTATTCTTCGCTTTCTTTGTCTTTGCCATTGTTGTTAACTTCATTTAACCCCAAGTATGCACATTCACACAGAAATAGATAAGAATATCTGAAGATTTTTTTTTTCATTTGAATTTGCTCTCATTTGATATGCAGGTACTTAGTTGACCACGTCTCTCATAGAGAAGGATACACAGCAAAAAGTCAGGTGGTTAAGACTGCTTTCAGTTCATCCACATGATAATATCTGATTGGCTAGTGTTTTCACCTTTTACCTTTTATAAAATAATAACTCCATTGGCATGCGCAATTAGCACTTCAACTAAAAATATGCAAACAAATCAACTGAGTATCAATTACAAGCCAGCATTATGAAAACCCAGCAGCAGAGCTGAATTTTATCAGCACCAGCATCAATTGTATGCAGCATTTCACAGAATTAATCAAGCCCTCATCCACCCACTTACCCACACCCATTCTCAACACTAGTTCACTATGGTTCAGGATTAAGTAAAACAACACTAATTTAGTACAATTAATTAGGGTTTCAGGATGCTCTTTACTCAACAACCAGAGACTTCACTTCAAATAACCACAAAAAGCATTAAATAATCAATGTTCCATAACTAGGGTTAGGGTTTAAGGAAACCTGGATATCCCGATCCGCAAGCGAGAGCGAAATCGGGGCCACAGGCGCCATCTGAGTCGTGATCTGAGGCTGAACATTGAACATCGAAGGTGGTGTTGCCTGTGGCTGACCAAATCCCCCAAAAGGACTCTGCTGCTGCTGCTGCTGTTGCTGAGGCTGAAATAGGTTACTCGAAAACGCCAAGGCTGAAGGCGTCCCAAACGCCGGCGTCGATGATGGAGTTCCGAACGCCGGCGTCGACGACGGAGCTCCGAACGCCGGCGTAGATGACGGAGTTCCGAACGCCGGCGTAGATGACGGAGCTCCGAACGCCGGCGTCGGTGATGGAGTCCCGAACGCCGGCGTCGATGACGGAGTTCCGAACAAGGAGGGGGTTGACGATGGAGTGCCGAAGGCTGGGGTTGAGGTCGGGGCTCCGAACATCGTGATGATCTCTGGTTGCGATTTTGAGAGGATTAGGGTTTAGGACGGAGTTTCGAACATTTCATACTTTATGACTGCGATTCTGAGGGGATCAGTGTTTAGGGTTACGGTTTAGCTCGCCGTCGAGGAGGAGGGATGTGGATTTGGGGCTTTTAAGCCGGGTCTTTTTACTGCTTCCCCCGTTTTCAGTTCGAAGGGGCTTTTGGAATTTTTGGAAGGAAGGTCTAATTTTAATAGAGAAAATTGTTTTTTTTTTCTGGTTTGCCCCATGGATATCTTCAATTTGCATAATACTACTAGACACCGCATGTAAAGTTGCAATAATTTATTTCGGTATTTATAATTAAAAAAAAAATCATTTAGCACACCATGTTACTGTCCTATGGAGCAAAGATCCTATCAGAACCTTCAGTACAATGCGCCTTGTAATAACAAGGGGAAGTTTTGACATTTTATTACTCCTCTTATGTAGCTCAAAACATATTGCAGAAGTGTTATAGTCAAGATATCAAGAGAATAACCGGCCCCTTAGATTATTATTTTTTTCAAATTTTTTAGATTATTATTTTTTCAAATTTTTCTAAGTGCGAGGGTGTTTGCATATTCTATTCTCCAGTGCTAGAAAAATTCTATAGCCTTTTTCGAAGCATGAAGGCATTTCCTTGGTTTTTTTTCTTTTTCCTTCCAAGTGAGAGGGTATCTCCGGTATTCTAAAAAAAATAGCTCACACAAACTGATGGTGATTTCTTTTAGGGAAAATTGCTTGGAGGAACTAAAAAATTTTGGGCTATGCATCCTCCTCCCTAGCCCCAAAACCATAACCCCCAAGCCCTAATACTTAAAAATAAGTGCAAGTAACCCCCAAACCCACTACCCAATAAAGTCATTCTCAAATTACCCTTCCCAATTTAAAACCCCCTTCTGATCACAATTTTCGAAACCCTAGCTATTTTCTCATTCCCTCTTCCTCCACCGCCGACCGACGACTGCCGACAAGGTCTCGCCTCCCTACCAGCCCATCTCGCCTGGATCCCTCCTCTACCGCTTCGTCAACGGCGACGACGTGTTTCGCAATTCTAGGTTTAAGATCGTGAACAAGATCGTCAAGGGGTCGTGGATTGTGAAGGCGGCGGTGGGGAACTATGCTGCTTGTTTGTTGGGGAAGGCGCTGACGTGTCGCTACCACAGGGGAGAACTATCTGGAGATTGATGTCGACATTGGGAGCTCGGCGATAGCGAATGCGGTGTTGCATCTGGCTCTTGGGTACGTGAAGGCGGTCATGATCGATATGAGGTTTGTTGTGGAGGCGCAGGAGGAGGAGGAGCTGCCCGAGAGATTGATTGGGGCGGTGAGGATCGCGCAGATGGAGTTGAGCTCTGCGACTTTTTTAGAGACCCCAGCGGCGGCGCCGAAGGCGGCGGTGGCGGGAAAGGGGACTGCGAAGGTGAATGACGGGAGAGATTGAGGTCAGGGCTTTTTTTTCAATGTGTTCCTTTTTTAAAAAAATATTTATTTTGTTTGGTGTTGATGGGGGGAGCAGAGAGGAGGTTTTAAGAGTTTGTAAAGTGATCACTGGGTACATGGGACGTTCAATATTAATGATAACTTTTTATGATGATAGATGAATTGGATCTAATTGTTGCGCAAATTTGATGATGGAGATTGAGATTATTGAAAGTTCTCGTGCTCTTTTTTTTATTATTGGTGTTGAATTCTTATTTTATCCTGTAATTTTTGAGGAAAATGCTAACTAGCCGTCAACTGAGTATTTTAGAGTTTGTACCAGTTTATTAATACATGTGATACTTGCTTATGTCACATATGCTAGATTCATGTGATATAGTGACAGGGTGATATATTCTGTTGTTATGTGATATTTTAGTATTCTGTGTGATTTATGCTACTGTTATGTGACATTTTGATATTTTGTTTGACATATGCTGTTGTTAGGTGATATTTTGGTATTCTGTGTGATATATGTTACTGTTATGTGATATTTTTGGTTTTTTGTATGACATATGCTGCTATTATGTTAATGTCATGGTCGACAGCCTATGTTAATAATCTTATCAGTTCTCTACTTTATAGGCAGCATGTTAATGTTATGGGCTCCCAATGTCTACATGTTACTCCTGGCAAGACTCATCGATGGCCTCGGCATCGGTTTATCAGTAACACTTATTCCTGTTTACATATGCTGCAGTTTAAGTGTTATATGATATTTTTGCAGATATGATTGGGGCATACATGTATATATTTTCATCAAGGTGGTCCTAGAGGAAAGGGAAGCAATTAATATTAAAGCCTTGCAAAGGGAGTCTGAGATGTTACGAGCAGGACTTGTTGGCTCATTGCCTACTTTATCCAAGCATATGTTGTAAATGTGCAGAATTTTTTTCATACGACATCTAGCTTGTACAATATGTAAAGAAACATTGTTTGTGGTAAATGAAAAAAGAAATCAAGGGTCCATTTCAATGTTATATGTGACAATTCAATATTACATGTGATAGCTCTACCTTATATGTGATATTTAGATCTGATTTGTGATATTTAGGTGTTATATATGATATTTGGGTATTGTATGTGATATTTGGGTGTTGCTTGTGACATTTGTTGTTTATACGTGATATTTGGGTGTTGTATGTGATATTTGAGTGTTGCTTATGACATTTGTTGTTTATACGTGACATTTGGGTGTTGTATGTGATATTTGTGTGTTGTATGTGATATTTAAGTGTTGCTTGTGACATTTGGGTTTTTTATAAGTGACATTTGGGTGTTGTATGTGATATTTGGGTGTTGTTTGTGATATTTGTTGTTTATACGTGACATTTGGGTGTTGTATGTGATATTTGGGTGTTGCTTACATTAGAAAGACTGCAAATGAAAGCTACCAAACATCTCATTTAACTTTGAATAACTAAGTTACAATCTCAACCCATCATCCAATTTCCTTCGTAGAACCAATCTATAGCAATGTGCGGTACAAACAATGAACTCAAAACTCAAATTTAAACCAAACAAATTTTAAACAAACAAAAATCATCTTTGTCTTGCCGCTAGATGCAATGCGTCGCCCCATTGTTATCGTTAACATTTACAAATCTAGAAAATCCCCTGTAATTCAACCCCTCATCATCGGCCCCGTCAACGCCGGATCTGATGACCCCGACAAGGAGGTCACCGACACTGAGTGGTTCTTGAAGATGAGATCGAAGCCGTAACAGGACCCTGATTCGAAGCCGTTAAAATTGATCCGAGAAGCCGTTACGACCCTAGTCTGCGTTCAATTTTATCCGAAGTCGTTATGACCCTAGTCTGCATTCAATTTTAACGACTTCGGATCAAGAAGCAACACCCAAATATCACATACAACACTCAAATATCACATACAACATCCAAATGTCACGTATAAACAACAAATATCACAAGCAACACCCAAATATCACATACAACACTCAAATATCACATACAACACCCAAATGTCACGTATAAACAACAAATGTCATAAGAAACACCCAAATATCACATACAACACCCAAATATCACATACAACACTCAAATATCACAAATCAGATCTAAATATCACATATAAGGTAGAACTGTCACATGCAAGATTGAATTGTCACATATTAAATGGAATCTGAAAGTAAAGTTCTTACAGGTGTCACACTTAATACTAATAAGTCACACGAATGGGTAATATGTCACATTTAAGTAGTAAATATCATAACAAAATATCAAAAGTAACATGTAACAGACAACTGTCACAAAAGAGTTTGAATTCTGCCTGGAAACGTTAATCTTAGATAAGTTCAGTGCACGTGGCACGGTTATGTCCTTCAGCGATACTTCAAGAGTGATTCCCTCCATGCAATTTTTTCATTTACAAATGCATATTTTATCATTTACAAATAGCTAGTAAACATCCAACATCCAACAAATGAAACAGATACATGTGTTTGTCTAATATTTTCACTCAATCAATGATATGTTATTACCCCCAAAGTACAAAAGATATTCTGGATCGGCAATATCCAACTTCAATTGCAACTTATGTCATAACAACAACATATGTCACACAGAATACTAAAATATCACATAATAGCAGCATATATCACACAAAATACCAAAAATATCACATAACAACAACATATGTCACACAGAATACCAAAATGTCACATAACAACAGTATATGTCACACAGAATATCAAAATGTCACATAACAACAGCATATGTCACACAGAAAACCAAAATGTCACATAACAACAATATATATCACACAGAATATCAAAATATCACATAACAACAACATAAGTCACACAGAATACCAAAATGTCACATAACAGCAGAATATATCACTCATAATGCCACTATGTCACATGAGAAGGGGGAGTCATCAAAGCTGACTGTATCTCATGTGAATCACCAAGAACTTCACTTTTTACTTCCAATTTCTCTACTGCTTCCAAGCTATGGGTCCCAATTGGTATTGGTTTATCACTAGATAGATTCTCTATCTCCAATGAATCAATCTTCGTTGAGCATTATGAACCAATGTCTCGTCCTCAAAAGAAATTGCATGTTGTCTAAATGGCAAATTCTTGGAGACATTTACCGACAAGAAGGGTGTGCAACTAATGAAAATTCCTAGCATGAAACGAAGACAATAATGGAAGAAGGACCTTCTCATGCGTAGCCCTTTCGGTTTTGATCTCTCTATAAGCCAGCTACTTCTTGGCGACGAAATGCCACGAAAATATAATGAGTATGAAAATGATCTCTGCAATCTCCCAAGAGCAAAGTTATTGCGGTTATGAGGCAATTTAGGTGGAGAAGAAATATCAAAGATTGCTTCACCATTTTGCGCAGCAAAATCTTGCTGCACTACTAACATACTTCTTCTCAATGACGACATCGTATCATAAAGCATATAATCTCTTTCCAATACAAATTGCCGTCCTTGAAAGCAAGAAAACCCATAATAGAGCTACCCACAACAACAAAACTGGGTCATTCTAGATGTGCATCAAATTGCCGAACAACCCTTTAAAGTACCAAATTGAAATGCCAATACACAAAGCAGAAATTGAAACCTTTGCAAAGGTTAAACCCCACAAAACTGAATTATGAACTAATAACTCTAAAAACCTTGTCAAATAAAATTTATTCAAATTGCTTATCCAAAGTACATTGGTTGAACC